ACCAACGGTCAGTGTCCACTGGCCACCACCCCCTCCCACATGACAGCTAAGGCTGAGTCCACTGAGATCATAGGGAGATCTCAGCTGAGCCTCTTCCCAGGAGCTGAAATCATCGCACTATACATGCCAGGAAGTCTTCAGGGGCTGGGGAATTCTCCCCAGCTGGCACTGTTGGTTCTGGTCAAGGTCTCTCCCTCTTTACCCATCCCCCATGAGCTATCAGAGGAAATTACTGGCCCAGTGCAAGTTCTTCCAAAGACTCAAGGTCCTTTGGAAAATCAAACTCACAGAGGAATAAAACTGGGTATCCAAGGCCAGGCATGGAGGTACACTGGGAGGTGGAGGCGGGTCGATCAGAAGTCCATGGTTATGGTAGGCCACAGAGCAAGTGTGAGGCTAGTCTAGGCTACATGACACCCTGTCTTAAAAACAAAACACACACCGTGCATAGTGGTGCACACCTTTAATCCAGCACTCGAGAGGCAGAGGCAGGCGGATCTCTGTGAGTTTGAGGTCAGCCTGGGGTTCACAGTGAATCCAGGACAGCTGGGGCTATAGGGAGACCCTGTCTCAAAAAGACCAAAAAAAAAAACAAAAAACACCAAAAAACATGGGGCTGGAGAGATGGCTCAGTGGTTAAGAACACTGACTGTTCTTGTAGAAGATCCAGGTTTGAATCCCAGCACCCACATGGCAGCTAACAACTGTCCTTAACTCCAGTTCCAGGGGATCTGACAGCCTCTTTGTCCTCCGAGGGCATTGCATGACACGGGTGCACTTACCCACATGCAGGCAATACACGCATATACATAAAACACTTGCCCCCCCCAAAACTCACAAAAATAAAGTCCCACCAAAAAAAAACCAAAAAACGAAACCCACAAACAAAACAACCAACCAACCAAAAACTGTACAAAAAAAATTAAACAAAACCTTGTGTGTCCAAGTGTGTTGTAAGTTAAAGCACCAAGATCTTCCTTCACTCATCTGAGCCCTAAAATAAGATAAAATCATGCTCCTGGGATGGGAGGCTGTACAGGGTCTTTCACAATTTCAGGGAGGGGATTCAGGTTACAAGAATCTTAGTTCCCCAGTCTTCACTGGCCAATTCTACCTCAGTTCAGGAAGTTCTCAGCATCAGGAGGGAACACACATAGTTAATTACAAACAGGTATTTAGACCCACTTTGTAATTTTTTAAATAATTTCTTATTTTTTGTGTGTTCGTACAGAACATCTCAATCAATCCTGTCATCTTTATGTCTCTTCCCCATTGACATCCACCCATAGCACCCCACCTCATGCACTGGAGTTCACACATTCTGTCATTTATTTGCCTATCATGTCAAGTCAGTGTCCCCAGATGTTCCTCAGTGCAAGTTCATCCACTGGGGTCTAGATAGCCTATCTAGAGTCCCGCCCTTTAAGATTAGCTCTTCCTCACCCAGCAGTAATCAGCTGCCAATAATTCTTCGACTAAGACTGGGGCCTGTCCAATTCCAGTAATTTTTATTTACTTTTTGGGGGAAGAAGGATGGGATCACGAGTAGCCCAGGCTATCTTCAGACTTATTACACAGTCAAGGCTGGCCTTGAACTCCTGATCTTCCTGGTCCCACCTCCTGAGTCCTGAGATTACAGACTACATACACCATGCCAGGCTCTAAAATCTCTACATTTTTTTTTTTTTTTTTTTTTTTTTTTTTTTTCGTCTCCCTGTAGCCCCAGCTCTCCTGGAACTCACTATGTGGACCAGGCTGGCCTTGAACTCACAGAGATCCGCCTGCCTCTGCCTCTGGACTGCTGTGATTAAAGGCCTGTGCCACCACACCCAGCCTACCCCTATTATTTTTAAAAGTTATGTGTATGTGTCTGTGTGTTTGTGTGTGTGAATGCCATGCTGACTGCAGTGAGCCCTGACATGGGTGCTGGGAATCGAACTCAGGTCCTCTGGAAGGACAGACCACCAGTTCCATGCTACACAATGGCCTGCTACCCCCACAAGTTACATGGATTACATCTCCCCCTACACCCAATTGTATAAAAACTGTTATGTAAAAGAATGGCCAACAGCCAGGTGTGGCAGTACAAGTCTGTACTCCCAGCACCTGGGAGTGGAGTGGGGTGCGAGGATTACAAGTTCAAGATCATGACCCAGGCTACCTGGTACAGTCTAGGCCCCAAAAGACTCAACTCAAACAAGACATGGCCTCTATCATGCCCAGGGATAGGCAGTAGTCAGTGACAAAGCCGCGAGCAGGTCTAGTGTAAATAGTCTTCAGGAAGTATTTAGCAATAAATAAAAGTGCAACCCAGTGGCAACAGGCACTGATTTAGTCTTCTGATTAAGGATCCCACGGTTCTGTAAAACCCTGCTGAGGTTCATGGCATCCCTTTACTCCTTAGGCTCCGTGGCACCTCTTGAAGCTGGCTTGTGTATGTGGTTGACAAGGCACTTTCGGTAACTGCCTCACTGACCCCTTAAGTGGGGCATTAATTACCCATTTTTCCTCCAAGAGAGGGGTTGTCAGGGAAGTGTGGAACCCATCTGGCGCTGGACATGGGGCCGGGGGAGACCCCCACCAGCCCTTCTCAACAATGCTGGGTGACCACACTGCCTTGGCCTGCCTTCCAAGCCTTTCCAGTAAGCCTTGCCCATGCAGGTGACCTGTCTAATCCTGGTCTTGGACACGGACAGCCTTTGAGTATTCCGGTGGACATGGCCAGCCTGAGGCCACTGCTCCAGTGGAGGGAGGGGTGTGCCCGAAATCTTTAGGTCCTCACATATTTCCTGAGTCCATCTGGACCTGGTCTGATTCCCAGTACTTTTAGATCAGAGTTGAAGGGCATCTTCCCATATCAACCCAACTACAGGAACCAACCTGGTCCGATTTACTCCTGCAGCCATTCGGGTTTTCAAGGATGCCGGACCCGACCGTCGTTCACCGTGTGTATTGTGCCCTTTCCCATCTTCCTAGGCCGGCCTGGTCTACTGGGAAACCCATTTCCAAGAACCCTGCCGGCCCCCAAACGAGGTTAGTAAATACTGAACTGAACGCACAGTGAAGTTTGAAACTGCCGGCATATTTCGTTCATTTCACAATGGGGAAACTGAGGCGCAGGAAGTGGGCCTGACTGCTGCAGACTTCTTGAAGGGAGAAGGGGCAGGGTTGGGACAAAAACCTCCCATCTCCGAAGTCCCCAAATAGCTCAACTCCACCCTAAACAATTCTTTAGAAAACCATAATCTACTGGAACGCAGAGCCATTTCCTGCCCATAATACTCGGTTTCGGGGGACCTGGCTGGGGTGGGCGCTTTGGGGAACTCCGACGGTGGCCGTAGGGAGCAAAGGGCCGAAGGACCCAGGGGTGGCTCGGCCCGGCCCAGCAGGGATCAGCAATGCGCAGCCCGGGGTGCCCAGTGCCGCCGGGCCAAGGTCACCCGGGCGGGGCATGCGCTGCGGCGCGGCGGGAGACCTCGCTCCAGCATCCTCCAGGTTCGGAGATGGGCACAGCGCGCGCCCTCCGCGCGCCCCGCCACCCCGGACGCGGCAGTAGCAGCAAGCCAGTCGGGCCGCGGGCCACGCGGCCGAGCCCCATGTGCTCCACCTGCGGCCCGAGCGCTGGGCCTTTAAGGCTCCGCCCCTCCCCGCCGGAGTTGCATCAGGCACGTGCTCGCCCCCGTCCGCGCCCGCGCCCCGCCCCACGCGCGGCCTGCGCCGCTGAGTGGCCGTGTAGGGCGGGGCCGGGGCGGAGCC